ATTTCTGAATTTCCATCTGTGCAGTTGTCCTCAGCCAATTGAAAATCACCTGGAGTTTTATTCCAAGCACAAAAGAAGGTCAGAGAGAGGAGGCCCGATGATCATGATCGCCCTCTCTCTAGGGCCTGGGCTGGAAGGAGTCCTAAAGCCTTTGTGCTCTCAGGGACAGAGAGCTGACTTTGACCTTACCTTGACCTTAGGTCCCTGGGCATATCGAGTGGAAATTCCTTTCATTTTATTGTGGAACCCAGAAGCTTACAAATTGTTTTCCTGGCTGCTTTAGTGAGCCAGGGTAAGAGGCACTTTTGCTGGAGTGACTACAGTTCTTTATGTAAGGGTTGCTCTGCTATTACTCAATTAACCTTACCACCATCGTGCCTGGGGACTGCTGTGTATAATTTCTGCCTGAGCCGAAACCTTTCCCAGCAAAGGGTATGGTCAACATTCCAAGTGCTCTTAGTTTGTGAGAAAAGCCTACAGAGAGCATCAGTAAAAAGTTAGCTATTCCTATCACTGCTGCTGCTACTATTCCTTTTTTTTTTTTTAACCATTTTTATTGTTATTCAGTAGCTAATTTTACTGAAGAGAGGTAAACTTGTGATTTTGCTGTGACTTTGGATCCATAAGCAGATATTGCCCCCTAGAATAAAGGAGTCTTTAAGCTGGGGAGGACCTTTGATCCAAGGTCTTGCTCTTGGATGACTTTGCCCTATATTTCTGGACACTTCTTAACGAGTTCTGTGAGGCAGAAGGAAGACAGTATGTTTTAAGGGTTTAAGAAAGTTTGGGTTGTGCTGCTCTCCAATGCCTACTTGGTTTGAAAGTTGTGCCCTACCCATGAGCCTTGTTGTGGCCCCACAGACCTGAGTGTCCAGAGCTGGACTGGGTGGGGTCACATGGTGAGGGTAGAGATGCTAGCACAGGAACAAGTCTGGGGTAAAGAGCCTGGATTAGGTTTTATGTGGTGGTAGCAGCTTGCTGTTGGTTCTTGCTGGGTAGGGATGGGATGCAGCTGGGCTCTCTCCTGCCTACTTCACTGCTGTATTGGAGGGGCTTCTCCTTTCAGGCCAGGCTCTGAGTTATTGAAAGCCTGGAGAGAAGCCAAGGCATGTGGTCCTCAGTTATCTCTGCTTCTAGAACAAGGACAGTGGCCAAGGCGTGTAGTCCCCAGTCATTTCTGCTTCCAGAACCAGGACAGACAGCCAAGGCATGCAGTCCCTGGTCATCTCTGCTTCCAACCAGGATGGATGGCCAAGACGTGTGGTTCCCGGCCATCTCTGCTTCCAGAACCAAGATGAACAGCCAAGGTGTACAGTCCCTGGTCATTTCTTCATCCAGAACCAGAGTGGCATGTGGTCCTTGGTCAATCTGTACTTCCAGAATATAGAGAGCACTTACGCCTGCTGGGAAAGCTCCAGAACATCGGAAACACTTGGAGGTGTCCAGCTCATTTGTACACAGCTACCTTCTAGATCCTTGTGTCCTTGTACAGAACCAGTCAGGGACTGAGGCAACTTTACCTTACCCTAGGGAGTCAATGCTGCAGTGGCTTCTATTTTTTCTTGTAAGAGTAAGTCTATTTTTTTCTTCTGGTGGAAATACTGCCTTTTCACATATTAAGAGGAGGGTTCAGACTGAGTTCTGGTGAGAACCAATTTAATAGAGGAAGATTGAGAGAATGGTTTGTGGGATTCCAAATCCTGGATTTCTGTAGCAAATATTTCGATAGCACTTGTTGAAAAGGAGAGTTTGCAGACTTTTTTCTTCATGTTCCTGATTGTCAGGTTTTGTTTATATAAGACACTTCTACAGTAGGTTTTATGGGAGGTGCCAGAAGAAAATCCTAAATCTCTCTTCTACCATCAGCATAAACACTGAAAATTAACCAGTAAGGTAAAAACAGTAAAACCTGAAATAGTTAAAACATTTAAAAATTGTCTTTGAGATATAATTCACATAGCATAAATGTTACCATTTTAAAGTGTGCAATTTGGTGGGTTTGGGGATTTTTGGTTTTAAGAAATGAGGTCTTGGGCCAGGCACGGTGGCTCACACCTGTAATCCTAGCATTCTGGGAGGCCGAGGCGGGCAGATCATTTGAGCTCAGGAGTTTGAGACCAGCCTGAGCAAAAGTGAGACTGTCTCTACTAAAAATAGAAAGAAATTAATTGGCCAGCTAAAAATATATAGAAAAAATTATCTGGGCATGGTGGCATGTGCCTGTAGTCCCAGCTACTCAGGAGGCTGAGGCAGAAGGATTGTTGGAGTCCAGGAGTTTGAGGTTGCTGTGAGCTGGACTGACCCCACAGCACTCTAGCTGGGGCTACAAGAGTGAGACTCTGTCTCGAAAAGAAAAGAAATGAAAAAAAAAAGAAAAGAAATGAGGTCTTGGCTGGGCATGGTTGCACACACCTGTAATCCTAGCACTTTGGGAGGCCAAGATGGGAGGATTGCTAGGCCATGGGTTCGAGACCAGCCTGAGCAAGAGCAAGACCCCATCTCTACTAAAAATAGAAAAATTAGTCAGGTGTCATGGTGCATGCCTGTAATCTCAGCTACTCAGGTGGCTGAGGCAGGGGCTTGCTTGAGCCCAGGAGTTTGAAGTTGCAGTGAGCTGTGATGATGCCACTGCACTCTAGCCCAGGCAACAGAGCAAGACCCTGTCTCAAAAAAAAAAAAAAAGACAAAAAAAGAAATGGGTGACGTCTTGCTGTTTTGCCCAGGCTGGTCTCACATTCTTGGGCTCAAGTAATCCTCCAGTCTCAGCTTCCTGAGTAGCTGGGGCCACAGGCATGCACCACTGTACCTGGCTATGGTGGTTTTTAGTATATTCACAATATTCTGTAATCTTATCCACAAAGGTTTTATTTTAAAAAATTATTTTTTTCTGAATACCAGAGGAATATGTTCTTACTATACAATGTTTTAAACAATCCACACAACTCCCCCCAAAGAAAGTTTTCAGTGAGAGTCCCTACTGCCCTATGTGAGGCAGACAGTCGAGGCCTACACATCATCATAGCGTGTTTCCTAGCCTGTAGCTGGCTGCAGTGTACAGCTATGCTGTCAGACCATCTCAGTCAGGTACATCTATGCCCTGGACAGCATTATACTGTGTTTCCCCGAAAATAAGACAGGGTCTTATATTTATTTTTCCTCAAGAAGAAACCCTAGGGCTTATTTTCAGGGGATATGTTATTTTTTTTAAGTACGGTACAATAATCTACATTTATTCAAATATTGTAAAGTCGTCTTCTGGAACATCATCATAACTCTCCAAACCCCAAATTCCATCCTGAATGTCTTGCGACTCTATTGCCTTTAGAACCATTGGCCCCAATCTCTCATGTCAAGCAGTAGAGCTCTCATGGGGCAGATGAGAAGGGCTGCTAGTGTTCTTTACCACTCTGCGATGAAATGCATGGGTTGTGCATATACACTGCTTAGCTACGCCCATCACTAGGTCTTATTTTTGGGGTAGGGCTTATATTGTGCAAATGTTTAGAAATCCTGCTAGGGCTTGTTTTATAGGTAGGTCTTATTTTCAGAGAAACATGGTAGAAGAGCCTGCCTGAAAAAGCCAGAAGACCTTAAGGACTAATCTTGTGGTTTCTGTAGCTATCTCTGTCCTTCTCATTTCCAGACACGGACAGACCCATCTGATGTCCATCCAAATCCCAGACAGGGAGCACATACGGGTAGTATCTTAGTAGACGGTGAACACAAAAATTAAGTAAAATTCTCCTTTCTGAATTTTTCAAGAGTGTCTAATCAAAGTTTATTGATGGAAGACTCTTAGAAACTGGAGAATGTATTACAGAGAAGAAAGACAATGTTTTTATGTTTCTAAACTGTCTGTTTTTTTTGAGGAGGTTAATGGAATTTTGTAAACTTTTAGTATCGCTGATCTCTAAAATGTTTTAAAAGCTCACATCTTTGTATGAAATGAATAAACTATTAAAGTTCACAGTATCTATGCAAATTATAAATCATTCAAATATGAAATAAACAAAAATAATACGAATATAAGTAAATGAGTTAATCCATAGTAGCACTAAGGAAATTCAAACCGACAGTAACACACCTGGCTTTTATGAAGTACTTGTTAGCTGCTAGACCATATACTAATGACTTTCTTTGTACTATTTAGTCTTTACTACAGCATACCTATGAAGAATATATATGTTTTTGTCCTCTTAGATGAGAAAACTGAGCACAGAAACTTAGGTAACTCGCCAGGATCACAGAGCTCAAATTTGAATTTCAATCTCTGACCCCACACCTTAAGCTCTTAGCTTCTGAGTGCCCCTCCTGAAATAAGGATGAAATTATTTCTCTATAGGGTTAGTGCTGCCTCTTACAAAGGATCTGATTCCATTTTGTGTCCAGGGGAGTAAGAAAACGTGAGTAAGTTGGCCCTAGGCCTTCCAGAGGCTGTGCTGAGGGAGGTGCTAAATCCCCTCAGTGCCCCTTGGGCACTCATGTCAGGGTGTGATCACCTGCATCCCACATAAGAACTGGCAGGTTTGAAATCTACATAGGGCCGAGGACTTCACCTCCCAGATGCTGGGGCCCGGAGAGAGAGGTGGAGCAGGAAACATCTCTGTTGACATCAACTCGTGTCTGTCCCCAGGTCCCAGCACCTGGCCTATAGGAGCAGTCAGTGTGTAGGAGTAGAGGAGAGCTGTTTGGCTTTGGTCCCTTGGGATGTGTATGCTGATGGGAAGAAGGCCACAGGGCACGTATGTTATAGGAGTGGAGGTCAGAAGGTGCATTCTGAGGGCAAAATGAAAGGGCAGAAAGCAGGGGGGTGCCCTAACTTTGAGAGAAACCCACTGCTTTGTGGCAGATAGGAACACAGCTGTCCAGAGCAGGAGGAAGTGGGCTCAGCCAGCCTGTGGTAGACTTGACTTGCCTGCAGAGAGCAGCTCTCTGTTGCCACACATGTGTCTTGGACTTATGGGAGCAGTGAGGTAACCCTGTACCTTCTTTGTCTTTAGTCATGGGACATTTTTTTTCGCAACACCAATGCTGGAGCCCCTCCGGGCACTGCCTACCAGAGCCCCCTTCCCCTGAGCCGAGGCTCCTTTGCTGCCGTGGCCCATGCACAGTCCCTGGTGGAGGCACAGCCCAACGTGGACAAGCTCGTGGAGGACCACTTGGCGGTGCAGTCTCTCATCAGGGCATATCAGGTAAGCTGGTTGCTGACTGTCCACACAGGAAAGGGTGCATTGTTCCTTGGGTTATGCCTCGTGGCACGATCAGCTTTTCTAAGTGTATGTTGTCATTTAACTTTTACCTCCTCAGATACTAGATGCTTTTTCCCTGCTTTGGGGTCTTAGGGAGGCAAAAAACAAATATACAAGAGAAAAGGAACCAGGCTAACTCTTTTTGAGAAAATCCTGTGGCACCTTCAATGCCTGCCCTGTAAATAGGTCCTTATTTCTTTTCCTAAGATGGCAAGAAAGATCTGTGAGCAGGGAAATCAAGACAGTCCCTGGGCATCAAGGAGAGGTGCTGCCCACACAGCAGTGAGCGGAGGTGGGGAGAGGTGGACCTGTTGAATGGGTTGATGCCCCCTTCTCTGTTGCTAACAACTGAAGAGAAAATAACGTGTAGAGTTTGTGGAATGGAGTCAAGGAGAGACAGGTGAGGGGGGCAGCTGAGCCCATGGAGAGTGGGTAAGGAACAGGGGAATTCTTGCAGAAAGCATTCTAGTCAGTGGCCTGCCTCATTGTGTGAGCATTGAGCAGAATGGGGCTATTCCTCCCTGTCCTTTCTCAGAGCACAATAACCCAGGCTCTTCTAGGATGTCTACCTGATATGGGGTTCAGGGGAGCCCAGAGTTCAGACCTTAAGGCCCTGTCCGTGATAGTTCTGAGGAGTACAGGTGGAGACAAGCAAGCATACCTCTGGAAGCTCAGCCAGGCCCCTGCCACCTCTCTCACACTTTGGTTTCTGATGGCGTAGGCCATTTCCTCTGCCAGCAGGGCCAGTGGTGCAGGTGTCATAACAGGGCAGGACAGAGAAGGCCCTGGGTCTCTGGTCCCTCCTGTCATGCTCTGGCAGGTAAGGCTCTCTCCCCGGGGCAAGTGTATGCTGCCTTAGAAAAGAGCCGCACAGAGTTTTGTAAACACAGCAGCCCTGTACTGTAAAGTGCTATCCACAATGGACATTTCTATAGGTAAGAGGCACAGTTGGTGCTTCCTAACCATTGCCTGCATGCAGTTGGCCCCAGTAATAAATTTAACCTGATTTTTCAATGACTTAGCAGCTGCTCCCTTTCTCAAATTGCTAGCAAGAAATTGTGAATAAAATATCCAGAACTGAAACTTAAAATTGGAAAGGATTCTTTTTCTCCTTATGTTTTTTAAACAGTTTAAATTAGATGCATTAAGTCTGCAGTGTAGCAGGGTTTTTTGTTTTAACTGCTGTGTGCTGGCCTCAGCAGTGCCAGGACCAGAGCCCTCACTCCTCAGACACACATTCTCTTAGTATATGATAAATTCTGTCAGTATATAATAGAGGCACACATTCATCTTAGTAAAAAGACCCCTTCTCTGCACCCCTCCTCTATCAAAGCCAACACCCAACCCTTCATTTTCCTCCACAGGGAAATTTTTATGTTTTAAACTGATGTAGGCTTCACATTGGAGTAAGAATTCCCCAGCATATCTCATTTCTGTTTATCTAGGGAAACTGTGTAAGGATCCAGAGAAATGGATCCTTTCAGACTGCCCCAGTTTATCATAACCGGAGAAGTTTATCCTTTTTTTTATAAAAGTGCATTTATGCACAATAGTGCTTTTGAAATAAACTGTTCTAAGACTTTTAAAACTAATTTTGTTGTATGGGTTCATTGGTGCTATGTTTCTCTTTGGGAAAGGTTTGCATGAAGTATAACTCTTTACCCCTCCCCACAGCTCGCTGGATCTGCTTAATGACTTACTTGTGTTATTGCTTCCAGGTCAGGGGTCACCAAATTGCAAAACTTGATCCTCTCGGAATTAGTTGTGTAAATTTTGATGATGCTCCAGTAACTGTTTCTTCAAACGTGGGTGAGAATTAATCTGTAAATGCTAATTTTAATGTAATTTTACTTTTTTTTTTTTTACCCCTTCCCTCTTTTTTTTCTCCTGTCCTTTTGTGTGTGTCCATCCCTCTCATCGTTGGCCCACTCATAGATACGAGGGCATCATGTAGCACAGCTGGACCCCCTGGGGATTTTGGATGCTGATCTGGACTCCTCCGTGCCCGCTGACATTATCTCATCCACAGACAAACTTGGTGAGGGTCTGAGAGCAGTCAGCTGCGTTGCTTGAGCTCCTCTCGCTGTGCCACAGCCTGTAGTAGCCAGGATGTTCAGGCAGGAGGGAAAGGCTCTTAAGTTTCCTTTTGTTCTGATCACTTGAAATTAATTGGTATTGCAGCCTTAGTGTGTTTTGGGCAAGTTATTTTTATCCCATTTTTTCAGCCAGATTGTCTTAGTCTCAAAATTGGAAAATGAAATTTTGGACAGAAAGGTTCGTGGCACAGGGATAAAAGCTTGTACTTCAGAGAATAGTTCTTTTGGCTTTAGCTTTCCAAATCCCAGTGTAGCACATCCTTCAATGAGGCACATCAACGAGCCCTTGCTCAGGAACTGCTGTCACAGCCATCATGTTCCGAAGCCCCATGTGGCCTGCCTTTGACTGAAGCCCATTTGTGTCCCTTAGGGGGCAAATTCCAGAGCAAGTTATGTAGTTTCCGTCTCCTGATTTGTAATTGCTGGTGATCACACCAAGGAAACTTTGGAAGGCATTCCCACAGCGTCAGGAGGCCAGGGCCTTTGGGAGGTGCATGTGTGGATTATAATTTGGGTTTTGTCACGGTTACCAGAAGATATTCCCACCTGCACCCCCTCCTTGTTATGAGGTGAGGTGGGTGTTGTGGCTGGGCTCTCACTCGCAGTTGCTTTGCAGAGTTAATCTGCTTTGTGTCACTGTGCTGCTAACCTGTACTAAAGAAATGATGATATGACTAATTTTGAAATGGCCAGGGTGTTCACAATAGGCACTGTGCATGCTGATGAAATTGATTATCACCTACCTATCTAATACTGCTCTTGGGGAGGGAACAAAATGAGCCTCTTTGTAGGCACTTTGTGGGAATGGTACAGAAAAACAGGCTAAGGCTCTGTGGTACCTAGATGTCTTCACAGCCATTACTGAATTACGACTAGAGGATCAGACATTAATCAGGTAAAGTTAGACATTATTGGTTCTGGAATTGATGTTGTTGGTTTGTAATTACTTGTTAGTCTTGATTCAGAAACACTCCTAGGTAATATAAGGTTTCCTCCATGTCATACCAACCCATTAGGAGATTTAGGAGAGAAGTTTAGAGAAATCCTCTTGAATCTTAAAGAGTCAGGCCAGTTCAGATTGTAGACTCCACGTGAGATAAACCCTTATGATTAGTGGTGACAGCTTTGCACTCCCAAGAAGTGAGGCTGTCTTTACAGTGTTCCAAGGAGGTTTTAGAGCCTTTTTCCTAGACCTCACCCCTTAGTGTAGAAACTCTCCACCCCAGAGTCCCCAGGCCCATCACGGCTGTCCGCCCTGAGCCTCCCCAGGCCCCTGTGCTCACTGCCCCCAGAGCCTTCCAGACCTGCATGGTCTCCTCCAGGTGCTCAGGACAGGGCGATCCCTCCTGGCTGCCGGACTAACATCTCTCTGATGAAGAGCACAGGGACCTGCACCTGGGAGCCACCCCTACAGAGGAAAACCTCCGTCTGTAGTCAGGCAAGGTAGGGGAGCCACAGGATGTTCGTTTTCCACGTGTAGCAAAACAGTCAAACAAGAAAAGAACAGGTAGGGTGACTGGTTTGCCCTGTCCTGCCCAAACTGCATTATCTCAACTCCTCTTCCCAACTCTGCACATTAGAATTAGCTGGGGGAGCACTAATGCTATCTTCTGTCCCCTTTCAGACTAATTAGATCAAGGGGCACATCCCCAGGTGATCCCAAACCAGTGTAGTCTTTGAAGGGTGAGAAACCCCAAGGGCTGTCGACAAACCCAGCTGCTAATTTCCCACCTCTGTAGTGGCTGAGGCAGGGCCAGAATCTGTTTATCCTGCCTCTGTGGTTCTTCTCAGGCCATTGCCTTCTGGAATACCATCCCTGGGTATTTGTGTTTCTGTGAGATTTGTGGTTCCAGGTTCTACAACAACATGGTGGGGTGAGAGGGCCAGGGGACTTTATAAACCAAGAGGCTAAAATGCACAGAAGTGGACTCAAAGCTTCCTGAAATCCTTTGAGAAAGCCAGACTTTTGACCTCTTTGGCAGGGAACCATTTGGAACCACTGACAGAGTCAGGAAGCAATCTCCACTTTGTGAGACAAAGGTGTGTTTTAATCCTGTGGATTTGAAATCCTGTGACCTAAAAATTGGAATAAATTATTTCTTTAGGTGCAAAAAATGGAAATAGTGTAAACTCATTATATACTTGAATCTTTAGAAAAACTGATCTTGAACTTTCACCCTTGATGTATGCAGGTCTTCAAGAAACCAACAGGTAGATATGACCACTAGACAGTTTGTAGAATACTTGAACTCCACAGCTTGGACTCTGGAACTATACTTCCTGGATTAGAATCCCAGCTCTGCTGTCACTGTGTGACCTTGGGCTAGTTGCTTAACCTCTCTGTGCCTCAGTCATCATATCTGTAAAAGCAGGGATGATGATACCTGCCTCTTTAGGTGGTTTCAAAATGAAATAAACTCCTCAGAATAATAGTAGTGCCTGGAGCTTTACTAAGTTCTATGAGTGAGAGTTAATGTGCTTATTAACAATCTTTTGAGATGAGCAGTTGCCGAACTCTCTGATAATGAGATAAACTCAGAAACTGAGAGGTCAAGCAAGAAGGCCAGGATCACACAGGAGTTAGTAGTGGTGAAGACTGGGCTATACCCAGATGATAAGGAAGCATCTCATTCAGGAACTTGTAAACTAAGAAGGGAGCATTCTGTGTAGGGGGGTGGGGAGGTTTGGGGCCCACCAGAGCTGCTCATCAGCTTAGGAATGGGGCAGTGAGCTACCCACCCTGCTGCACAGTAGGCGGGGGTGGGCTAAGTGGCCACGCAGTGAACCTGTGTGTAGACTGGGTTCAGGGGCCATTTGTGGTGGTGTCCCATATCGAATAACATCTTTTTAGAGAGCTAAGATTGTCCCCATGCCTCTACTTAGCCCCCTTCCTGCCTCCCTGTGAATGCAGGCATAATTTTCCCCTCTCTTTGGAGAAATATCACACCCATATGTTTGAACACAGCCCTTGGTGTTTCCAGCAAAACGTGTTCTACCCATTGTTGGAAAAACTCCAGGCGGGGGCAGCAGTGGAGGGCAGGAGTCACCAGCAAACCCGTTCCGAAAGGGCATTGAGGATACAGCCCTGAAGATACTTTCAGGGCACCCAGGTGGCAGGCTGATTTGGTTGGCAAGTGCAAGCAAGGGGGTTCTGTCTACCCTGAGTTTTTTAAATAAAATGGAATAGGTTCTGTGGTTTTCACTGAGTTCTTGACGTTTTGTGACCAATTTGGAAGAGTTGGGAAATGCTGGCCTAGGGCCCCACCTATCAATTCTCAGCAGTTCCCCTGGTCCCTGAAGTAAGAGGGGAAGAGAGAATTAAAAATTAGGTTTTTGCCAGTTATGAGATACTCAGCAACACAGAACTCCTGAATAGTCCCAGGATGTTGGGATTTACCATCAGATGTTGTATGCACATAGAACTTGTTATGAATGCAAGAAAAATATAGTTGAGATGATGGGTTATTGGTTATTTTCATTTAAAATTTAAAAAATTAATTTTGGACCAGTTTCTCAGTTAGATGTGGGTTATGTTCCATAATCATGTAGGTGATAGCTGGCTGGACCCGAGATACCTTTTTCCGTGAAGTGTTATGTTGGGGGCCAGGTCCAGGTGAACCCCCAGAAGCACATCTTAATTTGTGCTAGATTGTGCTGTAGGCCCTATTTCCCCTGGGAAGGAGGGTTGAGAATTCCAACATGAAATGCCTTGAGTACGTATTTCCCATCACCCATGCTCTATAGTGAGGTTCCTTGGCACCAAACCTGCAGACCTGCAGAATCAGGCACCTAGTGATGTTCAATGGGTTCCTTTCTAATATCCTGCATGGATCTGGTTGGGGTGGGGAGTGGTGGCAGCCCAAGGTCTCCTGGCAGAGCTCCTAGGGAGGCATTTCCTGGCTGGCCTTTAAAGAGGGGTCATGGATTGGGATGCCAAGGTAGATACAGGTGTATATTGCAAAACGCCAGAATCAGGGTGTTATTCATGGAAAGGTCTAGACAAGTGGGACCCATGGGATTTGTTGCCCACTCACTGCTTAATTAGAAACAGGTTGACTTGCAGACTTAACTAAGATTATGTGCTGTTTTTGTCTTAAGGTTTGCATTCTATGCTAGTCATCCATTACTTGTTTAGTTTGGGTGAAGGAGGGAAAGTTTCCAGCCCAAGATTAGAAAGTTCCTGTTAACTCTTGCCCTCAGTTTTCCCTTATCTTTGAAATACAGTGTTTGAGCTAGATTCCCACTTAAAAATGCCATTGTCTGTGGTTTCTGTATAGATTCTATAGTATAACTTCTCACAGTGACAAAAATGATTGAGATGTACTTTAATGTGAGATTTAAACATAATTTAAGGAGAATTAAAAACATTCTGTGAATAAATGGGAAGAAAGTGTGAAACTTCTCTTGTTTACCACTGATGTTTGCAAATTCCTACTACCAATTTTAGGACATGAACTTGAGTTAAGTTGTTTAAAAGTCAATTTAAAAGTCCAAAAATAAGGCAGAATTTCAGCTACTTAAATGAATTCTTGCTTCTGTCCTAAACCTACTGTCATTAACAGCACAGTAAGCAGTGACAACATTCACACATGTCTCCCTGACCTTCCAGGGCTTTCTGATTTGCTCCCTTGATGGCTGAGAAGAATAAGCTAAAATAGAGTTGATTTTTTATTTTTATTTTAATTTTTATTCTTTTTTTTTTCCTTTTTCCTAAGACAGACTGTCTTTATAGGTCAAATCATTTCTTTTTAGTGCTGAATAATATTCCCCATCTGGATGTACCTAATTTCAATAGAGTTGATTTTTAATCAACTTTTATAATTTCAGAATGACAGAGAACAGTTCATTTAGCAAACATTGATTGTTTTGTACCAATGCTTTGCTGCAGATAATTGAGGACCTGGAGATGAGGTTGCCTGAGTGACTTAGGAGGGCAGAGCTGAGCTAAGGACATACCTACAAGGGGTAAAAGTCACAGTGGATACCGTCACCCTCAAGGGAAATGAGACCTGGACAGAGCAGACACCTGCCATTTGAGAGAGTTCTTTTTCTTTCTTTCTTTTTTTTAAATTATATTCCAGAGAGAGTAGAACAGGTCAGTCTCCATGAGTGGAGAAAGACTTGAGAGGGTTCTTTGACTAGATGCTCAGGAATGGGTAAACCAAGTCACATCTAGCTCCCAGTGGTGTCACATCCCTGTCTCTTGCCAGCTGTGCTTCACTTAGAAGTACTGTGGCCAGACCTCTATCAGCTCTCTGTCCCCTCCAGCACAACACCTGACTCCTCAAGAAGTAATTATTAAAAATGCTTCAAAGCCCTCAGGTGCTAGAAACATCTGTGCTTTCTGTAAGTTGTGACAATCAGAATATCTTCTATTTTTCTCTTCTTTGGTATGTGTCTTTTTTTTTTTTTTGCCTTTTATTTTAAAAATACAAAAAAATACCGATAGAAATAAAAGCACCCAGTGCATAGAATATAAACATTTTACCACATTGCCTTTAGTTTTTTTTTTTTTTTTTTTTTAACAAGAATGATCATTTGAGGTTCCCTTGAGGCTCTCCCTGTGTGAGTCCTTTCCTGGGGCTCTGGAGTGACTGAAGTACACTGAGGAGTCCATGGGGGTGCTGATGGCAACTTGACATGGTCTCGAGTCTTGATTCTGAAGACTGAGGAGAAAAGTAAGATTCTTCATCCTTGCCTAAAGCAAAGCATTGACACTCTTGTACAGGACTTAAGTATTCTGTCATTTTAAGAGCCACTTGGCTCTGAGGTCTTTGGTGGATCATGCCATTGTCCCATGGGGGAAGGAGGCAGAGCTTTACCCAGTGTGCCTCAGAAGCATGTGAGTCCTACAGCCCCTGTGGGAGCACTGGAGGATAAGTCTGCTTGTTGGGGTCATTTCTGAGTCAGAGTTCTTAGCATTGGCTTCAGAGGAGGTACTCAACCATCAGCCTATTGCCACCTGCCTTCCTGACCCTATTATCCAGGCACATGCACCCAGGCAGTAAGGCTCAGGAATGCACTTCATGTATCCAAATAAACATCTTGGTCGTCACCCCTGGCCAAGAAGGCTTTTTGGTATGGTAGATGGCCAGTGGAAAGTTTACAGGTAGAAGGAAATGTGCAGTCTGCAGATACAGCTGTGGCTCTTGGGTTCTTTTTAGTCACAAAGTTCTTCTGTTCTAGTTTGCCTTCTTGTGAAGGGAGACCAAAGCCCCCTTGCAGTCTTTAGGATTCTTCAGAATCTGAGGATTTAGATAGAGTCTAATCTACTGCCTGAATCTAGTCCTGAGAAATGGCTACTCTAAAAATTAGGCTTTTTCATTTTCTTTGCCTCAATTTTTCATCCCAAAGTAGTCTAGATTAGGTATATGTGGCTTCCCAAGAGAGCCTGTGTCAGCTACTTCTTGAGGCTAGGGAGACGAGAAGCTCTCAAACGACGCTGCCTGATGGCTTCCCAGTGTCAGGGGAGCGGCCTCCCCTCCTTCTGATTCACCTCATTCCAGCTGTTCTATGAACAATTTCCATGTTTAACAAAATAGCTCTCAGGAATCGATCACCTGACCCCGTAACCTACCCACTTCTCCTTTGGTGTGTGTGTGTCCCTGTGACAGTGTTTGTGCTGTTTCTGTGGTAATGGTGTAGGGTTTTGGTTGTTTTTAAACTAACTTTCACCTGTCTTTTTCCTTCTGCGCTCACCCATGCTACCCCACTCTGCCTCTCAGATCTTGCAGTGTTCAAGGAACGACTTCGAATGCTAACAGTAGGAGGTATGAAAATAATGAGCCTTTCACCTTTCCAGAGTTGAGGACTTCATTTGAATAGGAAGTGCAACTTTTCCTAGCATGCAATTTGGGGAAAGTTGACACAACTTCTGCCAAGTGTTTTTAAGTTTGTTAATTGTCCTGACATATGTTTTCCCTTCATTTAGTTATTAACCAATAAGTAGAGCTACTTATATGGTGTCATTTTGTTTCTGTCCATTTTGTGTTCTAAAGAACATTTTTCATCTGCACTTGTGCTTCACCATTGCTTCACTGTGAGCTTCCATCTTCAGCACAGCTCGCCTTAAGCTTCTGCTGTAGCCAGCTGGGGACCTGAGGCCATGTTCAGCTCAGCATGGTGGCTTGTCCTGTGCTGCGGCTTTGACTGGACTCTGGATTTTTCCAGATTCTGCTTCCTCAGCATTTTGGACGGGATTTCCAAAATGTTCCATGTTTGAAGGACAACTGAAGTGTTAGTAAAAACTTGCCAGGAACGCTTAATGAGCCTTGTTTTTGAGCAGAACACCTTTAAGGAATGTGGAGATGAGGTGCTAGGGGAATCATCTGCCTGCTGTCATCCACCTCAGTGGCCAGTCTCTTCCTTCCACTCTGGCTACTTTAAGCAGTTCTCTTTTTCCTCCACCTTACTGATAATACCTGGAGACTCAACTTTCTAATTGAAATTTTTATTTGGAGATCATTATAGATTCATATGCAGTTATGAGAAATAGCAGATCTTGTTTGCTTTGACCAGTTTCCCCAATAGTAATTTTGTAAAGCTGTAGTACAACATCACACCAGGACACTGCATTGACTCTGAACATCCATCACCGCAAGGATCCCTCCTGTTGCCCTTTTATAGCCACATCCATTTCCCTCCTATCCCACTTACCACATTTAATCCCTGGCAACCACCGTTGTGTTCCATTTCTATAATTTTGTCATTTCAGTAGTGCTATACATGTGGAATCACAGTATGTAACCTTTTGGGATTGGCGTTTTGTAGTCAGCATAATTTTTTAGAGATTCATCCAGGTTGTTGGTATGTATCAATAGTTTGTTCCTTGCCAGGCACAGTGGCTCACACCTGTAATCCTAGCACTCTAGGAGGGCCAGGTGGGAGGATCGCTTGAGGTCAGGAGTTTAAGACCAGCCTGAACAAGAGCAAGACCCCATCTCTAGTCAAAATAGAAAAAATTAGCTGGGCGTAGTGGCACATACCTGTAGTCCCAGTTACTGAGAAGGCTGAGGCAGGAGGATTGCTTGAGCCCAGGAGTTCATGATGAGCTATGATCACACCACTGTATTCTACCTGGGTGACAGAGTTAGACACTGTCTCAAAAAAAGAAAAGTTTGTTCCTTTTAATTACTGACTAGTATTCCATGGTGTAGCTGCACCGCAATTGTTTTAACCCTTCACCTGTTGAAGGATTGGATTGTTTCCATTCTTTGGCTAATAGGGTCTTTTGCAGAGCAAAAGTTTTTAATTTTGATGATGTCTAATTTATAATTTTCTTATGGATAATACTTGGTGTCAAGTCTATGAACTCTTTCCTTAGCTCTAGGTCCCAAAGATTTTCTCTTGTGTATTTTTCTAAAGGTTCTTTTTCCTAAAAGCTTTGCATTTTGCATTTAAATCTTTGATCCATTTTGAGTAAATTTCTGTATAAGGTATGAAGTTTACATCACGATACTTTTATTGGTATTTTTATATTTTTGTCTATGGATGTCCAGTTTTTCTGGCACCAGTAGCTGAAATATCTGTCCTTCCTTGAGTGAATTGCCTTTGCACCTTTGTCAAAAATTAGTTGGACTTATTTGCATGGATCTATTTCTGGATTTTTCTATTTTCCTTTCATTTGTATGTCTGTCCTTCTACCAGTACCACACTGTCTTGATTACTGTAGTTACTAAACTTTATCTTCCATTTTCAAAATTGTTGACTAGTCTAGGGCCTTTTCTTTCCATATAAATTTGAGAATAAGCATGTCTATGTCTAAATAAAATCCTGCTGATGTGTTTTTTGTTTTTGAGACAGAGTCTTGCTCTATTGCCCAGGCTAGAGCACCTTGGCACAGTCATAACCCACTGTAGCCTCAAATTCCTGGGCTCAAGTGCTCCTTCCACCTCCCATAGTACTGGGATTATGGGTGTGAGCCACTGGCACTGGCCCCATGCTGACATTAGGATAGGAATTGTGTTAAACATCCATTTAGGAAGAAGTGATGTTTTACTATTTTCTTCTAATCCATGAGCATGGTATGTCTCTCCATTTATTTCATTCATCAGCTTTTTGTAGTTTTCAGCATAAAAGTTCTATACATGTTTTTGTTAGATTTACACTTGAGTTTTTTTTAATTTAGTGTCCACATATTCATTGGTAGTAAATAGAAATACAATTGACTTTATGTGTTTATGTTATATCCTGAGACCTTGATGAAGTCATTTATTCTAGGACCTTTTTTTTTGTGGATCTTTAGGATTTTCTATATAGACAGTCAGGTCATCTGAAAATGGGAAATTATTTCTTCCTTTCCAATCTGTCTGTGTGCCTTTTATTTCCTTTTCTTGCTTTATTGCGGTAGTTACAACTTTCAGCACCATGTTGAATAAGAGTGGTGAGAGTGAACATCCTTATGCCCTATTCCTGATCTTAAGAGTATGAAAGCATTCAATCTTTCACCATTAAGTATAATCTAGCGGTAGATTTTTTTGTAGATGCTTTTCATCAAGTTGAGGAAATTCCCCTGCATCCCTATTTTTATGATATTTTTTATTATGAATAGGTATTGAATTTTGTCAAACTTTTTAATACATCTATTGATACGGTCATATGATTTTTCTTTAATGTGGAAAATTTGATTATAATGTAGTAGATTGTACTGATTGATTTTTGTATATTCAACCAGCTAGAATTACTAGAATAAACATCATTTGGTCATGGTATATAATTATTTTTATATATCGCTGTATCTATATATTTTGCATCTGTATTCATGAGGGATATTGGTCTGTAATTTTCTTTTTTTGTACTGTCATTGTCTGCTTTTGTTATCAGGGTAGTTCTGTCTTCATAAAATGAATTGAGAAGTGTTTCTCCTATTCTGTTTTTTTGAAAGAGATTCTATAAATTGGTGTTATTGCTTCTTTAAACATCTGATAGGATTTTCGATAAGAATCATCTGGGCTTAGATATTTCCCTTTCAAGAGCTGTTTGTTTTATTAGATTTTCTTCTTAGTCATAGGGCTGTTCAAATTAACTGTTTCATATTGGGCGAGTAATGGTAGTTCGTGTTCTTCTAGAAGTGTTTTATTTCATCTAAGTTGTCAGATGTCTGCAGAATTGTTCATAGTGTTCCCTTTGTTATCTTTTTGATATCTGCAGGATCTGTATCGAGATTCTGTTTCATTCCTGGTATTGATGATTTTTGTACTCTTTTTTTGTTATCAGTCTTGCAAGAGGTTTTTCAGTGTTATCGATCTTTTCAAAGAACCAACTCCTTGTTTTATTGATTTTTCTCTTATTTTCCTGTTTTAAATTTAATTGATTTCTGCTCTTTATTATTTTCTTACTTCTGTTTGTTGGCTTTTGTTTGCTTCTTGTTTTTTCCTATTTTTCTAGGTTCTTGGGGTGGAAACTTAGATTATTGATTGGAGACTTTTCTTTTTTTTACTTTTTTTTGTTTTGAGACAGAGTCTCACTTTGTTGCCCAGGCTAGAGTGAGTGCCGTGGCGTCAGCCTAGCTCACAGCAACCTCAAACTCCTGGGCTCAAGCAATCCTACTGCCTCAGCCTCCCAAGCAGGTGGGACTACAGGCATGTACACCATGCCCAGCTAATTTTTTCTATATATATTTGTTGGCCAATTAATTTCTTTCTTTTTATAGTAGAGATGGAATCTCGCTCAGGCTGGTTTCGAAGTCCTGACCTCGAGCTATCTGCCCGCCTCAGCCTCCCAGAGTGCTAGGATTACAGGCATGAGCCACTGCGCCCGGCCGGAGACTTTCCATTTTTTCTGATGTATGCATTTGCTGATATAAATATTCCTCTCAGTACTGCTTTACCTGTCCTATAAAGTTTGATATGTTATATTTTCATTCAGTTTGATGTATTTTTTATATGCCTTGATACTTATTAAGTTTCCTATTGTTTGGATAAATTTTTTGTTATCTTTCTACTATTGGTTTCTAGTTTGATTTCATTGTAATTGGAGAATGTACCCAGTATGATTTCAGTTCTGCTGAGTTTGTTGTTTTTTTTCTTGTTTGTTTGTTTGTTTTTTTGAGACAGATTCTCACTCTGTTGCCCAGGCTAGAGTGCCATGGCATCAGCCTAGCTCACAGCTACCTCAAACTTCTGGGCTCGAGCAATCCTTCTGCCTCCTGAGTAGCTGGGACTACAGGCATGCACCACCATGCCTGGCTGATGTTTTATATATATTTTAGTTGTCCAGCTAATTTCTTTCTTTTTTTTAGTAGGGACAGGGTCTCACTCTTGCTCAGGCTGGTCTTGAACTCCTCACCTTGAGCCATCCTCCTGCCTCGGCCTCCCATAGTGCTAGGATTACATGTGTGAGCCACCACACCCAGCCTTTATATATATATATTTTTTTTTTATTTTTTTTTGAGACAGAGTCTCACTTTGTTGCCCAGGCTAGAGTGAGTGCTGTGGCATCAGCCTCGCTCACAGCAACCTCAGACTCCTGGGCTCAAGTGATCCTACTGCCTCAGCCTCCCGAGTAGCTGAGACTACAGGCATGCGCCCACCATGCCCGGCTAATTTTTGTATATATATTTTTAGTTGGTCAATTAATTTCTTTCTATTTTAGTAGAGAGGGTCTCACTCAGGCTGGTTTTGAACTCCTGACCTTGAACAATCCACCCGCCTTGGCCTCCCAGAGTGCTAGGATTACAGGCGTGAGCCACCGCGCCTGGCCTGATATATATATTTTATAAGCCAATATATCGTCTATCTTGACATATGTTCCATGGGTACTTAAAAAGAAT